TTTGCATCAACTATAATTCTTAGACGATTCAGCCTCTTTAGATAGAGCTTTTACCATAACATATTTGCAATACGTCGCTGCAATCCGTAAGTTGTCTATATCCAATGCACGGTATAAAAATAACTTTCTGAAGCGATCTTCAGCTTCAATTAGATGTCAAATTTGTTTGAATACAAATACTTTTCTATCAAGATATTACTGTTTTTAGTAAATAAAATAAACCTCCATGTTGAGAACAAGACATTTTGAGACAAAAATAAATGCGGGTATATTTTGTCGATGTCAGGCCTATCTAAACAGAAAATCTGAACCAAATCAAAATTTTCTTGCTTCAAGAGTTGATCGATGCTTACGTGGACTCTCTCGTAAAAAGAAGGAAATGAATAAGCAATGAACATTCGACATAACGTCTGTGATGATGTTTTTTTCTTTTTCATTTTCGAAAACGCTCCTTGAACATATATATACGCGCAATATGTCATCACATGTGCGTTCGCATCAAAAAAGAATATTGAATAATAAACTCACATGTCTTTTTATCCTTTAGCGGACTAGCATTATATTTCAGGTAGTGAAAAGAAATCTTCAACGCGCTGCGTGTTATCATTCATTACTGGAACGTTTTTAATATACCACCAGCGATGCAAATTGGTTTCTTTAAACTCTCTATGCGTTATGCTTTAATGTGGTGATTATCCCTAATGAATGTACTTAGCGATGTAAGTACTCGAGTATTTGCATTTTTCTTAGGTACCTATGGGAGTACCCTGCTACATGTATGTCATAGGAACTTGAATTTTTTTCAAGTATATGTTACTTGAGAGGTACCTAATTACTTGCGTTGGTATCAAATATTTTTTCATTCACCGTTTTGTTTTGCGTTCAAGCATATATAAAAAAAAATCATATGTTTACAAGAACAACGTGTGTTTTTATCTTCACACGATCATCTAAAATGGCTGGCCGTTTAGATACACGCTAAGTATATTTTACTTTCAAGCACCTATGACATTCTTGTAACAGGCTCGACACAAGTCGGGTACCTATGTTTAAGTACATTCACTAGAGACGCCAGCAGAAATGATATATTATATACAGTTAATATTTCTTTCCACTTTATATACTTTTTCTCATGATCTTAGCACAAGTTTTCTAGAAAACGTGAAGCTATTGTTCTGCTCTGCACTTCTTTTATTGAATTCTTTTTCAGATGCAGAGTTATACTTTTCTCGTCAAAACAGGACGTTGCGCAACACTTTGTAACATTGTACCACAAAGTTATAAGCATTTTTTTACAAGTCGTAAAATATTGTAATAAATATACAGCAAATACACATTCATTCATTCAAGACTATTTTTATTGCCAATATATTCCATTCGTAAAAATACTGGAAAATTCGAATTGGTTACAAGTTGAAGCTTACACTTATGGCTAAAACGCACATGAGGCTGCTTTTCTGACTAGTAACACCTACTTAAAATTAATAGAAATCAAATACAAAAATCTGGTCCTCATACTCATATGTGCTAGTTTCCATTTATGCCCTGAACCAAACTCTCCAGTATGTTCCTGAACGGAGAATTTTGGGGTCAAGATAAGTGTCCGATAATCCTTACAGAAAAAAAAAGTTCATGCAGAGCCGCAAAAAAATGCTTTTTCGTATTTAACACACTCAATAACCCGGAAGATTCTTTATTTTTAACGAGACGCATTGCCAAAAGTTTAAGAAAATTTTTAAACTAGTATTATTTTCTCATCCAATTTTTTTTTTGTCAATTTGTTCAAAAACTTTTTCGAAAGCTTTGACAATACGTGTCGCCAAAAATAAAGAATCTTTCGGATTATCGAATGTGCTGAATATGAAAAAGCACTTTTCCGCGACACTGTATGAACCTTAAATTTTGTCGGTGGTATGTTTTATCAGACAATTGCAACTATCATCATAGTTCTGCCTGAAAGGCATGGACAACCGCGATTGTCAGAAGAAAAATTATCGAACACTTGATCCAGTTAAACTGGAAAATACAAACACACTCGTTTTGATGTCTTCTCATGAACGATGATAGATGGAGCCATAAAATCATCTCATCTCCATACTTTGACGTGATAAATATGCCTTGAAAGTTTGGTCCATATCGCACTTCTAGTTATCGAAATAGAGAATAAGATGTTCTGTAAGATGTTCATTCTTAGACCAGTCTATATCTAAAACTTCATGATTCATGATTAACAACATTCTAAAAAAAGCTTGACTTTTATAGGAAAGGTTACTTACTGTAATTTCAAAAACTTTTTTATAATTTTTACGCTTTCTAGAAAGCTTATTAATTACTTTGAATTTCATTTTAAATTTTCTAGCTTAAATAGATAACTATACTATCGGCGTTTGCACATTATCGCAAAACATACAGCCAATCAAACAAGATTAAAAATGATTTTATTTTTTATTTTTATTCACATAAAAAAAAAGAACAATTCGAAGAGGCAATGCGCATAGTTTTAAAATGTTAATCACAATGATATTTAGTAAATACAAAATTTTACCCTCATTCTGTTCTTTTTACACAATTGTTGGTGTACATGAACATACCCATAGTTATTGTTAGTTACCAACCACTATTCTAATAATTGGACTTAGAGAAACTCAGAGTCACGAGATAACTTATCTATCTTTTTTCTAATCTTAAACTAAATTATAGTCTGGATACAATAACATTAGATAGCGTTAATATTGTCTTCCTTTTAATTCTAGATACAAAAAAAAAACAGGATGCAATGTGTGCAAAATTCCTTCTCTGAAAATTTGTTTGGATAATTTTTGATAGAGAATGTATCATTAATGATTTTTTTTTTTTTTTGGTTAATATGAAAGAAAATGTTCACTTTCAAAAGTCGAAATTGTTTGAATCAGTCAATGTCAATGTCTTATTCTGTTAGAACAATGACCATAAATTAATCTCCCAGGAATAAGCCTATACTAAACTACACGATAAAACAGAAAAAATGATAAATAAAAATTTTTTTATCGTTTTTCTTACCATGGTGGTTATTAGTAATATAACTATTGAATGTGAACAAGAATATTAAAGTATATTTTGTTGTTATTGGTATTTTTTTAAACTGTTAACGATGAGTTGATAGAAAGTAAGTATTTTTTTCTCCATCATGGTTCTCTCATAGTTGAGTCATGGGTAAACCTAATGCTATTTTCCTGTAGTATTATTAAAATAAGAATGAACAAAGAAACATAAAATATGATCATCTTCCTACTTCAGCTTTACTTTATGGTTTCATATGATTATTTTTTCTTTCTCTCCTTCTGTCATTTGCGTTTTGTGTTCTTCTTCTCTTACTAGGTGAATGTGGTGCATGTATGTGCAAGGTATGTTATAAAGATAATACGTATTACTTAAAAAGTAAAATAAAATAAAAAGACTTTTATGTAATGTCTTATAGTTCAAAAAAACTGAATGAAAAAAAAAATAAAGAATAGACAATAAGAAAATCGATGAAGATATTTTCTGATCTTAAATCGGATTACGTTTAAAAAGGATTGCATGCTTATTATTATTATACATTGTACATAGTCGATCTTTTAGAGATCAAGTAAGTGAGAAGATGAGAAGAAAAAGGAGAAAAAGAAGACGAGAAAAGGAAAAAGTGAATATACCAGTAATCAATCTTCCACAATCTAATATAACTTCTTCAATAAAACCTGATAAAATATTCAAACACACTTGTCAATTGTGTGTGCATGTGATGTGTGAATGATAGAAGAAGAAAAACAAACGAAAGCAATTTTCTGAGATAAATAATAGAAAAGAAAACATTTAGTCATACTATGTCAAAATTTACGAATGTTCTTGTTATTCTCTCTTCTTTTTTATAAATAAATGTCATTGAACATGCTTTAAAAATCAATATAAATTTAAAGTTCATCGTTCTTAAACCTTTACTGATCATAGATAGGCAACTTAATAAACGTATCTAGTCTATGCTTCGATCCAATAATCTTTACTGACTTTTAGACAAATACTTATTATTACAATTCCTTGAACAGTACTTAACAAAATAAAAGCAGGTTTTCTATGATAGAAGATTTCTTTTCTTTCTTTTGTGTGTTGAAAAATGCATGTATAGTTAAACTTACCTGTAGAAAATGAAAATGATTAAATTCAATAAGAGATTATTTAATATACAAGTAATAGTGCACGACGATTAGACGAAAGCTAACGATTGTAATAAATGACGTTATTGTTGTTGTTTTTTTAAATATCGACTCTAAGTAAGGAAGAACACAAGTAGACTAGATATGTTTATACATACTACTTATATACACAAGACTATATATTATACGTTGTTTTTCTTTGTCTATAACGGACAAGGACTAATGTCCGAAAAATCATGGCGCTAATATAGTTTAGTTTAAGAGGGAATCACGAAGAGGAAGGATTATTGTTAGACATGAATTTACTTTGAGAAAAGTTTAGACGATATATGGAAGCAAAAATAGTCTTATAGACAGACAGCAATAGCGAATAAAGGATGGTTATGTTTAAATATGGGAAAAATACGACCACAACTTTTGTATTAGTGTCAATCTGTCTTGGAAGAAGTATGTACTTTTTCTGTTTTTACCAGAGATCTTAATCTTTTAGTTTAAATAAAAAAGTTTTTTATGTTAACATGCTAAATAAGTTTCAGCTGTCTTATTACTTTTTAATTTACACAACCGACATAAAATGAAATTTAAATCATTGGTTTATTTAAATAATATTAATACAATATAGAAATCTGACTTATCATACTAAAGGTCCAAGACTCATTGAGAACGGTATTTCGATTTTTTTGTAAATCTACAAAACAATGTAGGCATTCTAAAAAAGAAGAGGTCGATAATCTCCATACTATCTCCTTATTATTACAAATATAAGACTGTAGCTTTGATCAACGGATGTTACTGAAGTTCTGTTAGCAATGAGTGATTTTAAGGATTAGCTCAAACATCGAATTTTGGTGGTTTAGTGATGGTGTTTGTCAAATTTTTCACTAATTTCAACCAGGATAATGTTAGTAGGGAACTAATTTTGTCTGTTTCTCCATCCATATTATCTTCTATATCATAAAGTTTAGGTATTCTTCTACCTTTGCCATACAAATGTCTCTGTCGAAATATAACTCGAAGAACTTGCAGTAAAAATAATTTTAATTTCGCTAATAAAGCGCGATCGGCTTCGAAAATGGCCGCTGGATGACCGCTAAGAACTAAAACCAAAACAAGCCGATGGGCGAAAGTGTACATTGTAGAGATAGACTCTCTGTCTCTACGCTTTATCCACTGAAATATGCTGGATTACTGGTTAATCTTGGTGTTAGTTACAGATCTGATATTCGTGGCGGTTATGATTGGTTTTTGAGCGACTTTCTTAAGATCTGTGTCTAGAAACGTAAAGTCCGTTTTTCAAAAGCGAATCCTGAGACTGCCGTATTTAGAACACATCAGATTCCCTACACTCTAAAAAAAATGCGACTTAGGATCAAGTTGAGTCACATTAATGTGACTCAACTTAATCTCAAGTCGCATTTTTTTTAGAGTGTACGTATAGAAATGTGTTGGATATAGAACTTGTCGTGATAAAGTGAGAATTTCATTAATTGGAATAGTCACAGATTATATATGCATTTCTGATGATTAAAATTTGCATGCATGTAGAATTCTATAAATTGATTCTAAAACATTTATTAAACTTCAAAATTTCAAAGAAAAATGTAGATAATTTAGTGTACTATAAATGCAACAGTTCTGGAACTTACTTCTGAAAAAACTATATTGAATTTTTAGAGAAAGATTATCTGAAACCCACTCAAGAACCCACCATGATCTGCTGCGAATGTCAGATTCGTAATCACAACACAAACCACTAATAGTTTACCATATCTTACTGGAGAAAACGAGGGAACAGTGGCGAAGCCTTTCTTGTGAGACCTGTATTCAGTATATAAATAAGAAGAAAACTTATTTACAAGCGTTTAAGTTAATATACCCGTTTTAACGACTCTTTGTAGGCGAGTGCTTTCTGTTTCACTAGCAAAACGATGTACTAAAACAAAATACGATAAACGTTTTTAGCTTGATTCAACTATATCTATACTCACTTGTCATATGAGTTATGTTTCGTAGCGGTCTTCCTATAAGAAGAAACAAGAAATTTCTAATAGTAAATCAACATGTGACCAACATGATGAAAATCAGCCTTATACCGGGGCATAAACGTTCAAAACCATCAAGATTTGGTGTTTTACAAGCACAAACGAAAACATTGCCTTGTTTAACACATCGACCATCTGGTCCGCAGTCTAAATCACAAGCACAAATGTATCCAGATAGTGCAACGTAAGTACATCGTCCAAAATGAGGGCATAATATCCCACTGCACCACGCTCCATCTAAACTAGTAAACGTTAAATGCAAGTGTTTTACATGAACTCTGATAAAAGATACCATTACAAAAGCCTTTTAATCCAATTCCAAAGTATCCCATAGGACATTCACACTAGAGAAAAATAAAATGTTAACGTCAAATCATTCAGTCACATGATACCTAGTTTCTAAATGGGCAGAATTTTTGTAAAAGAAAATGACATTTCTGACAGAATCTATATTTTTTGGAAATATTAAACACTTACGATAAATGACCCAATTGTATTTATACATCTCGCACGCCTATCACATGGATAAAGTGGATTGTCATAATTTAAACGACATTCATCAAGATCTATACAAGAGAGAGATTCTCTCAACATATATAATTTGATTCAGTGAGGGATATTACCTTCACATTTATTTTCCACTCTTTTCCATCCTGGTTCACAATGACAATCATGCTGACTATTCTGGTACCAAAACGGTATTTTTTGTCCCATTGGTAAATAGGAATAGGAAAATTGCATTGAATGTTTTGGATAACAAACAACATGAATATCATGAAACAACGGGTCGAATGTATTCAAATTGGCTATAAGGAGCAGAAATACGCAAATATTAAAAAGTTTGAGATTTTTGAATATACTTCTCAACATATCAAAGTTATATGTCCTCATTTTTCTAAATTGTTCATTTTCAGCTAAATTATGCAAAACTAAAATACAGAATCCAAATATGTGTAGTTATATCCGTATTGGCATCAGGTCGTAGCTGTTTCCAAACCTTTATTAAATTCTGTAATCCAATGAAAATGCGATCTATTTTCCCGTCTGATAATATTTTGTCTTTCTGTTGGTATATGTTCATACATGCGCAAATCACCATTGGGATAATAGAGTTGCGATAGTGTTTCGACTGATGAAGGGTGATGAAATCTATACTTTGAGTTTGATGCCAATGTTTTGTATAATTTTTGTGCTATTATTTTACTTAATTGTTGTTTACTCATATTTGTCCACGAATCATTGTGATGATACATGATGTCACTGGTAAATGCTGTCAAATCGTGTGAAATAACTCGTCCCTGCAATGTTCTCAAATTCAATAGGGAAGCTAATTTTTTTAATTCTGTTTTAAAATCTTTTAACATTTGACTTTCTAGCTTAATAATTACATCATTTGTCAACTTTTCTGCTACTTGATCAATCTTTCTTGTATTTATTGTGGTCACTTTTGGTGACTCAATAAGTTCATCATCTACGTCAGAATAATGGCTAAAAGGATCGAACGGGTAACGGCCAAAAGAATTATCCAAGTTTTTAGCAAATTTATTCAACGGATGAACCGTCTCACCATTGTAGACATCAGGCGCAAATAAATCATTCGACTATAAGAATAAAAGAACAGATAACTGTGATTATGACATAGATACAATTTTTCTTTTAGGGGCGCGAGAGACGTTTTTTCCAGCCGTATAAGCAACGAACTACGCATACTAAGATTTTTTCTTTGTTTTGCTATATGTTCTGATCTATCATTATAATAATCCCTATAATCTGCTTCTACTCTCATACTTAAGGGATGTTACTTTTCAAAATGGTACGTACTTTGGGATAATTGTCGTTTCTTAAAAAATCTACAAATGGCAAAAGACGTTCTTAACCATAATCAATGCTCGATCAGTATAACTGATATCTACCGTGCTAACCCTATATTACCATGTATATCTGCATCTTCATTCTCTTCGTCCATGTCGTTGTCATAGTATTGGAGTTCATATTCTTGTTTATCCCTTTCATGCCATGGAATATGTGTATTTCGAGATTTAAAGCGTGGATCACGATTTTTATATCGACTACTTGAACCATAAAACTGTTTCAATCTGTATCGATCAAAAGGTTCTTGCTGTTGTTGTCGATAATAATGGTCGGTATCTGTTTGGTAATAAAATGGGGATGAGGCTATCAAATGTGAATGAGGTGGCAAATATCGGATTGATGAACCCATTATTTTCTAGAAAAGATTATCCGATTTGAACAGAAGTTGGAGATAGAGCATAAAATATCAAAATTTCATGTTACTTTTCTATTCGTTTTTGCAAAATTCTGATTATGATTGATTTTAGATGAAACTACGTAGTGTTGTATGTGAGTGTTAAGTTTTTCATTATTTTTTTGATGAATTGACGGTTTATTTTGTTTTCTATTTAAGATGAATTGTCCTGTACGATATATAGAGTCAATAAATGATTTTATATTGTTTGTTATATTACTGTTTCTTGATGAAATATTGGACGCTTGATTATTTTTAGCATTTGAAGATGAGAGTAATGGAACATCGACTATATCCGTTGCATTAGATGAAATAGCGGTTTTTGTGTCTCGTTTTTGTCGACGACGACGAGCACCACTAAAATCCGATGGCGGTCGTATTGGATTGTTTGACACTGGTTGATTAAGCATATTGGTAATATTTAATAATAAAACGGGCAATGTAGGTGGTATTTGCCATGGTAGTGAAGGTGAGATTGTAGATACTTGTGGAAGAGTGTGTTGTTCAGTAATATTATACGGGTTCAAGATGGCTAGCATGGCTAAAACACTATTTAAAACAATGTTCAAATAGGTAGAAAAGGCCATATAAATGTTCAGAGTTAAACTTACTCTTTTTTTCTCAAAAAACCGTTCTAGTTCTTTCGTACCTACCTATAGGTACACAGCGATAATCTTTGTCGTTAATGATCAGTCTCGGTGCTCGTCCAAAATTCTTTAAACGCCAAATATTTTTCGTCTGCATTAGTTGTTGTTTTCGATTAGTTTCATTTTGTCCAAAATATTTTTCAGCTTGACGAATAGTTTCTTCTATTTTCACAGCATGATCGACTAACGGTACATAATCAATGAACGTTCTCACTTTTTCTATTGCTTTATTAATATTTAGTTCTTCAGGTGTTTCGTCAAATGGTGATTCTGGTTTGGTAAAAAAATTAGATAAATTTTTTAAAAATAAATAGTTGGATGCTGCTGAACGTTTTTTTAAACGATGACCAAACTCATCAAAATATTTTGTTTCACTGTTATCCGAGTGATAATCATCATTATTCTGCTTATTTTCTACTATTGGTAGACTACTCATCATAAGACCAAAATTATGCATGTTATTAATTGAAGGCATATAACCTTGATTCCGCAGATTAATGAGATGTTGGTGGTGAGTCTGAGGGAGTTCATAAAAGTATTGTGGCATGAAACCTTCAGGACACGTACAACGATTACGAAAACAAGGTTTTTCTACAAAAATAAGAGAGCAAATCATTATTAGAAGATGAAAAGAGTCATTCAGGTTAATTCAAGGATAATTTATATCTCACCTTGACCTGTTTTATCATAATGCCCTGTATCGAGAAGGTGATCGTGTAATCTGTTGATTATTACGTGGTAAGCTGCATTATCAAATAAATGCTCTAAATCATGTGACGATTCAACCATTTGAAATATAAGATTTAAACGAGATGCTAATTCAGCTTCATTTGTTAACGCTTCGTCTGAGCTTAATGTAGTTTGCATATTTGGTGCTATAATAGTGTCAGAAGATTGTTTTTGATCAATATATTTGTCAAAGGCATCTCTACATAATATGTCATGGAATACGAATTAATCACTGATTATTAAAGCACTCAAACTCATTAGAATACAACACCTAATTCAAGAGATGGTTGATTTAGAGTAGAAATTGCTGGTAAAATGGATTGAGATGCAACTAAAAAAAGTTCGACAAGTTTCTGTATTCAAAGATAGATGCATACCTGGAAGATTACTTGATGCCGCTGCTTCTGATTCTTCTGTAAAAATCATCAAATTAAAAAAACCTCATTTTATGCTCATATTCTTTATAGTACTGACCTGCTCCGATATGTGCACTAGTCGCGCTTTTAACAGTGTCAGGCGACAAGACAAGAGTCGGATCAGTTGCCTCTTCATCTCTTCGCCACTTTATTGTATCAAGAATATCAAGTGTGCCCAGTTTCGCGTACTTTTGGGGTAAATCATTGAGAAAATGTTTGGTTAGTAAATCTGGGATACTAGCAGTTGAAACTGACAGTGGATTCATAATTTTTAAATCATACACAAATGTTAAACAATGAAAATACACGATGATGGTAATTAGATTAACCATAATCATACATTCACAATCAAACCGATCTATAGAAATAGAACTCTTTGTTGTCAAGTGTGACATGTAATCAAATTTTCTATTTGGTCAAAAACTTAAATATTAATTGACAGTAAAAGCATATGAAATAAAATGTTCGAGATACATGAATACAAAAAAAAAGGTTGATTAGTGTCTGTTTGCCGATAAGAATGAGGACAAACTTTTCGGTTGTCTTGTTAATGCTGCAATCATTGTTAACTTTGTCACCGTTCGTTTCAATGTTGTTGTTGGTTTTGGTACAATAATTGGTGGTGGTGGTGGAGGTGGACTATGTCTCAAATCCGGATCATAAAGACTAAAAATATTGTGTACACTTGAAGTTGATGTTGGCCGTTGATGATTATAGGACGATAATTGATCTTTTATTTGTGTTTTTAACATAGAATACTTTGTATTCGATACATACTGTATATTAAACGGTTTTAAATGTATTTTATTTGGATAACGTTTATTTAGATAAGAAATGAGTGAATCCAATGAATCTTGGCTATCATCATTCTGTTTATTGTTTATTTTTATCATTGATTTACGAATAGACATTGTAGAATCATTCACCGCTTGACGAAATAATACTTCGAAAAAATTTTTACCTATTATTTCTTTGCCACGAGCTGTTTGAGATCGAGATGATGATGATGATGAACAAAGAGTTTGGTGTAATTGAATCAATATACGAGATGGTATTGGCTCATTATGACTAAAGAAAATTAAAATATATTACTAATTTTTTTTATTTGTAGGAACAACATCTATTCTCTTACCATTGTAATTTTGATGGTGTCCTCTGTTGTCGTCTTTCGTTAATATCAAATTCGATATAATCTATAATACTTTTTGATACTACATAATCACTAACAAATGGTGAAGAATCAGTTTTTGTTAATAGCATATGAGCATAATCATATCGGCCACAGTAGACCGCTAATAATAAAGGTGTAAAACCGTATGTATTTCGTTCATCAATATTTAAACCAAATTTATGAAATTTTTCAATTAAGTCAAGAATAATATTGCGATTTGATTTTGATACATAGATAATAGCATAGTGAAGAATATTATTGCCTTGAATATCTTTTAAACTTAAATTAAAATCTTTTAAATCTTCTTGAAACAAAAGTTTATAAAGTTTATAACGTTGATATCTCAATATGTACATGAGTAATGTACAACCAAATTCATCACAAACATTTGGTTTATAATTGTAACGATTAAACAGAATTTTCATTGTACGATATGCATACGATTCATCTGGATAGGCACACAATTGAATTAATATTGGTAGAGTAGATATATCTTGACTAGTTGAAGATGAAGATGTTGAATTTGAATTACTTTTACTACTGCATGATAATAAACGTTTTCTTGGTTGAGCGGTAGATAATGGACGTAATATGGAAAGATTAATCATTTTATTATCGTGAAGATGAGATAAATTCATCTTGAATATGTGTTACATGTTGAACTATAAATAATGAGAAAAAACAATAAAATATACTTTGTGGTTTACTCCAAACTATTTCTTAAAAAAGAAAAGAGGATTGTATTCTGTTTAATATCTTTAAAAACAAACATGAAGACAAAAAGAGAACAATATCTAATGATAGTCTTTAATATATCTTCTACAAAGAAATAAAATTTCTGCAACTAATGTTGTAACTTTAACTAAAAATCAAAAGATTATCTTATATCTCTAAAATTAACTATTTACCTTTAAGATTAGATTAGATATTGTGGTGTCATTTTAACACATAATAACTAATTGTAGAAGTGTTCAAGGAATGGAAGAAGAATGTTCAAAAACAAAAACGGAAAAAAAAACTCTGCATATTTAAGAAAAAAAGAAACTTCAAACAAATTTGTTAGAAGAGTATTTGATTTAGATTACGACAAGAAAATTTTCATTCTCTCTTTCTTTTCTTCAAGTGTTGATTAATTTTTAATATGCACTCTTTACATAAACATGTACGACAGGTATTGAAACATTTTTGTAAATCAAAATTTAAACAGAAACAGGTAAGAAATATATACATATGCATATAAGAAGAATTATTATTATTATATTATGATCGAGGACTAATGTTTTTTCTTCTTTCAAAGAAAAAAAATTTTTTTCTTTTGTGAAAAAAGAATTGAACTGCACGGGTTGAAATATAAGAAAAGTTTTCAAAATTGTGGTAAGCAACATGATACCCTGATGTTAAACACTTTAGGCAAAAACAAAAACATAGCAGGCGCTCCGATCTTTATTAAAATCTTCCTCGCAACAACAACAACAACATACACTGTAAAAAAATGCGTGGTTGAAAAGAACGGTTTTTGTTCCCCACGCTTTTCTGTAGAGCAGTTTCAAAATGCTACACTGAAGAATACTTTCAAAAAGTATTCTTTTTAGAATACTTTTGACACTTCAGCTCAGCGCTTCCAAACGTGACCTTTATTCAAAAATGTTCTACTGTAAATTACGTTTCAAAAGTATTCTTCTTCCGTTTGTTTTAAAAGTGATATTTCTTGAAAATGTTCAGCAGAAAAGTGGTTCCTAAAAAGAGCGATTTGGGGTACTCTTTTTTAAAGAATGTGCTTTTAATTATTATCTTTGAAATAACCCTGATAGTAATATTAATTCTAGGCTCATTAAATATGCAAATTTTAATCATGGCCTTGTAGATACATGAGTATAGTCGAAGAAATCGTACAAACTCTATTGCTATAGAAACAATTAGTTACGCGGAGATTTTCTCTCAAGAAAAATGAATAAAATATCACAATAACCATAGTCTTTATCGTGATATATCGACTACTATCATAGTATAACCCATATATCCGCTTGCGTTTAAATCTTCCTTTAAACGCGTTTCGTAAAAACTTGCATTTGAGGAGTGTTCGTGTGTAAAAGCTTGTGTGTGAGGAGCGTTCGTACATTTTTCTTCAAGGGTTTTGATTAAGCGTTTGACTATTAAACGCGTTTAAACGGCGAAGATATTTAATGTTGAACGCATTTTGATTTGAACAGACCCTAATAAAAAGCTTAGACACTTCTTAAAATTATCTTACTAAGATCTTAGTAAGATCCGAGTAAGTTTTCCACTAGAGGACGTTTGAATGCTGTTTTAAAACAGGTTTGAACAGCGTTTAAAACCGTTCTTATTATTACACACCATGACACGCTGTAGACAGTCGATACACCCAACGTGTTTGAAAGCGTTCTAATTTGAACAGACTTTTTCAACGCGGTTTTGAAAAAGGTTCGAACACCGTTCGAAACCGTTTATATTATTGAACAGTTCAACCCACTTCAGATATTTAATAGTCTAAAGTTGTTTGAGGGTTTGAACAGCATTTTTAAAAAAAATCTTTTTGCTCAGAACTATTTATTCGGAAGTTATGGTAAGGTTTCAACCAAGACCTAAATTTTTCAAAATATTCTTCATGTATACTAAAAAGTAGGATGCAGAAACTAGTAGATAAACTGATGGCGCAATGGTTCAGTAGGTTCACTCGCAGGTATGTAAAACAAAATGTCGCATGTTCACTTCTAACCTGTTTCTCTATCCTTCTTTCATTTAGACGAGTCCAGACGTCGTCAGTATATAGCTTGTCACACTAGTCAGCGACACTACTACGGATCGTTTTCTTTTAATTAACGGTTAAAATTTTGAATTAGTCATGACGGGTCGTTTTTGTCGTTAAGACTAGTCGGGACGGTCGTCCGGACTAGGAAAAACACTAGTCATTTCACCCGTCTTTTGCTTATCTGGGTGATTTCAAATTAGTCTGATGTAAATTGAAATCATCTAATACAGCATGGATTCCGGAGTCAAGTGCACTAAAAGCGATTTTTCAATAACAAGGATATACGTTCGGAAAGATTTATTCTTAAATTATACATATCAAATGGAGAGGACAATAATTGAGATCATTCGAATATTGTTGAGAAAAGAAAGCTGTTTTGGTGGCAGTTTTAACGCAAAAATGCATGATCACTTCGGAAAAGTTTGCAGGTGAGAGCGATCTAGTTTCAAAATTTTTTTGGAAATGGTGGTATAAAACTTATCATTAACTGAACCAACAGCTTTTTCTAATACTTTGAATGAGAAGAGGAAATTGGCTTCATTCAATTATAACGTGAACAAAAACATATTACAGCCTGTTTCCTTAGAAATCTGTTATAGAATACTAGAAGTATCGGTAGGCCTTCAGATAAGGAACCCAGAGAGTTCTCCTTGCTTCTAGACTTATTGACTTCAATAAATAATTTACTCCAAAAACACAAGTGACTTTTGAGTACAGAAAGCATAGAGTATGTTCGTTTAATCTGTATGATAAGGTACGAACTATATTTTGCCTAAAGAGCTTAGAATACACATGCTCTAAGTTCTGAATACATCAGAAATGTTTTTTGCGTTGGATTAGTTATTTCAAACAACCTGTTTGCTAGTGACTGTAGCAGAAAAATTTTGTAAGTCGAAGAGGTCAAACTGCTTCATTTACAAGAATCGGTGAAATAGTCATTAAATGGTCATTTTTACACCTTATAAATGGGAGGGTTTTAATGCCTTAAAATGACATTTTTTAACAGGCTGAAAACTGCCCTAAAATAGGCAGTTAATAGCATCATGTAATGGTCGTTTTTGCACCATTAATGGCTGTTAACGGTCAATTATCGAATGTTTTCTTTGATTTCATTAATTTTTTTGATTAGTAACTCAAATACAGTGAGTGATTTTCGAAATTTTTGATTCGTTAGATCCACGGCGCCCTCAATAGCACCAGATCCAGAATCAGCGACGACTTCCACGAGCCAAAGTTTCGATGACTTACACAATCGGGGAAGAGATTTCTCCAAATTTCAGATATATATATACAAATATATATTACATACCAGTCATGATTGCAAAATGAAAGAGGGAATGAAACAGACATTTTAAATGTCAGTTTTTTCGCCATATATTTTGCAATTGAAGAATAACCTGTTAATAGCCATTTAACTGCGACAGTTATTTTACATTGTATGATGCACAGTTAACTGCCTGTTTTTCACCATTATAACAGTCAAAAAATTTACAGTAAACAACCCAGGGGAAAGACGTCTTACAAGATCTTATAAGATCTGACGATTTCTTATACAGTCTTGCTGCAAGATCTTTTGGCAAGAACTTGTACGATTTTATCCCAAGATCATGTATGATCTTGCGGAATCTTGTAACTTCTTGTTGTAAGATCTTACAAGAACAGCTTATAAGAAATCTTAAGATCTTGTAACAAGAAGTTATATGATCTTGCAAGATCTTGTCAGTTCTTATCACAAGATCATACGATTTCTTGTTACAA